TGAATTTCATGCAAAAAAGGGACCGCGTTGACATCGCCAAAGACATGATTTCCAAGACTGAATCCGACCCAACATTCATCATTACTGGAGACGAGACGTGGGTTTATGAGTACGACACGCAATCCAGACATCAGGCGAGTGAATGGAGAGCTCCAAATGAGCCAAGACCAAAAAAACTACGTCGTTTTCAGTCGAAAAAGAAAGCGATGCTCACGGTTTTCATGGATTACAACGGTATTGTACATCACGAATTTTTGTCAGAAGGTCAGACAGTTAGGAGTTAATAAGGAGTATTATTTGGGCGTTATGAGACGTTTGCGTGAAGCAATTCGCCAAAAAAGAAAGGATTTGTGGGTAAACAACTCGTGGATTTTGCACCATGATAACGCACCGTCGCACAGTGCCATCATTATCCGTGAATTTTTGGTCAAGAACAAAATGAATACCATCCAACAGCCATCGAATTCACCCGATATGGCTCCCTGCGATTTTTTTCTGTTCGATCGAGTCAAAAAACCACTGCGGGGAACGCGTTTTAACAGCCGAAAGGAGGTAATGGAAAAATCGAAGACGGCTCTGATGGCTATACCAATAATAGAGTTCTAGAAATGTTTCGAGAGCTGGATCAAGCGCTGGCATAAGTGCGTTGCAGTCGCTGGAGAATACTTTGAAGGGGACAATATCACTTTTGATGAATAAACTTGTATTTTGAATTTTCTGAATGAATTCCGGAAACTTTTTGATCAAGCTAGTATGTTTATGATTCTGATCACTTATAACCGTTTCGTACAACGTTTTCATCTGGAATTTCGCACATCACGTATTTTCGAATAAACGCAACAACTTCTTCATCCGGAAATTTTCTTAGCACTGGATCATCTTTTATACAAATCATATAATGTATATGCTGGATTGTCTCTATTTTGATATTCCAGTATTCGCCAGAAATAGTAAATGATAATCTCCTATTGGGTTGTCGGACTAACAAATAAAATCAATCATGGCTTTAATTATAATTTAAATTTTATACGAATCTAGATACGTACTTACAGGATCGTATGCGATTGGTTCGCCTAATTTCTGTTTATCAGGATTCATGTTTCGTAAATATTCACCCAAATTGGACCATTTCCATTCACTAGGACTCAAAGTTAAAAATCACGTTACCGGACCATAATACAAAATTATGCATTTGACAATTGGACGGTTGTCGCCACAATTAATCCGTATTTCTTAGATTTGCAAAAATACTCATTCAATTCGATTCCAATTGTTCGTCTTTCAATTCATTCAAGTATCTATCAACAGTGTATCTCTCTCGTCGATTAGCAACCATCGTAATATAATTGATATCATTTTTCAATTATCGGTAATTAGCATCATTGAGAAGAAAGAACATATTGTAGATTTAATCTGAATCTACTGTGACTGTGTTTTGACATTAATCGCGTTCTGACAAATAAATAATCCGGCAATGCAAAGTTTTTATTTTTCCGTTGTCCATTGATACTCTCGGGATATAAATCAGGGAAACATGACATCCAGATATTTATAACGATTATAAGTTTTCTTTAGATATACACTGTTGGCGTTTATTAGAGTGTGTGTGGCTTGTTATCAGTCCGTTGGCTTTGCTGCGTGACCGCGGCGTGTTAGCAACGTGTCGTGTCGCTGATGGGATCCACCGAAGGGGAGGATATGCGCGCGACTATGCTGCCTGCGTGTAACCGCCGCGCTTCTCTCTGGCGGTGTTCTGGAAGATTCCGCGATCTTCTTGCGGTGAACACGTACAAGACCGGTGCAAAAACTATTTTTTATTCTTTGACCTGATAGTATACATGAGTGCAAATCTAGAAATAATAAAGTATGTTATATCAAGGCAAGGTTTTATCTTTTATTACGCGCAGCCAATTCCTTCGGACAAGAAACAAGGCATGAGACTGATTGACACAAGTCTCCAACAAAGAGAAAATGGCACTCCACATAGCGCAACGGGGACACCATGGTCCTCTCCCTTTGATCTTACGAGCCGGATACGCAGGTATCACATTCACATGCATATTACATTTTTTATTCTGAGGCTACGTGCAAGCGTATAAGCACACGACAAGTATTCACAAGTCTTATTTCAGGCATAGACATTGCGAGGTAAGAAAGTTTTTATTTATTCACAAGAACGCATTAGGCGCATCATATTCAATAGGCATCGTCATATCGAGATCTTTGCTTTCGCTCATAAGAGCCGCCATATTGTCGTTCGTTACTTTCGCTCACAAGAGCCGCCATATTGTCGTGCATCACTTTCGCTCACGGGAGCCGCCATATTGTCGTGCTTCACTATCGTACATAAGAGCAGCCATACTGCATGCTATCACTCACGCTCACAAGAGCGGCCATTTTATTAGAAGGTGCTAGATTCGTGCCGGCACAGGTGGCCATTTGCATCTTCATAAAACCTTACATTTCATTGGCCAAGCTGTCATATTGAAATTTTATAACGGCTTTGCGTTGCTACGTAGTCAATATCACGCATTACATTTAGCGTTTTTTCATAATGGAAACACTTCCATTGCAGATGCAAAACTTAAGAGAGCTCATATAAAGTCCGCGGTTACACGATTAAAGACGTTTATCGACAATTTCGACGTCAGTTGCAGATCTCAGCATGGTCTCACTGAGCGTAAGCAAAAATTATCGGAGTTGTGGAATCAATTTAAAGCAGCTCAATTTCGTATAGAGATTCTTGAAAACGCAGATCTCTCGATCACCGACAAAAGAGTTCTCTATGAACAGCACGCGCAACAGCGCGAGTTTTGAAGCCTCTTATTTTCAGTTAATGGCTTGTTATACTGCTCTTATTGAGCGGAAAAAAATGCTTCTCCGTCAACTTTATCAAATGGACAAGCGGAAAGATCGCGCGAAACGCGTGTTAAATTGCCTAAAATCGATTTGCCAATTTTTACAGTAGCGTATGATGATTGGTATTCCTACAGGGATACCTTTGAACAATTAATTCATTCAAATGATGATTTAGCGGACATCGAAAAATTTCATTACCTGAGGTCTTCCTTAAAGGACGCGGCCTCTGACATAATTAAGTCTATAGAGACCATTGCAGCCAATTATCATGAAGCATGGGCGGCGGTCAAGGAACGTTTCGACAATCTGAGATGGATTGTACATGTTCGCGCTTTGTTCGAAGTATCAGCTGTATGCAAAGAAAATCACAGCATGACTCGCGAATTGTTAGACACTTTTCTTAAACATTTGCGCACGCTCAAGGCCCTCGGAAGGCCTACTGATTATTGGGATGATTTAATTATTCATCTTATTATTTCTAAGTTAGATGTACTCACTAGCACGGCGTGAGAATTAAGCATCAAAGGAAAAGAGCTGCCAGATTTAAAGAGCTTAATAGAATTCTTGACTCTCCGATGCCAAGCATTGAAATCAGTACATGGCAAATTTCATAATAACGTAACAACTAAGCATAATAACAATTACATCAAAGCATAATAACAATTCAAGGTCCACGTCTGTCGCAAATGTCGCTACATCCAATCTTTCTTGGGCTATTTCTAAGGAAAATCATTCCACATATTGTAAAGAATTTTTCAATTTATCGGTTGAAGATAGAATTAAGGTCGCGAAAAAAGCGCATTTATGTCTCAATTGTTTAAGATCGAACACGCATCAAGCGAAAGCATGTAATTGAGGTATGTGTCGAAAATGTAGCAAAAAGCATAACACATTGTTACACATAAGTACTCCGAATAGTTCAAATACTTCGCAATCAAACACACAGGCAGCAGGTCAAGCAACCAATCTTCCACTCCCCGTCGCCACGCAATGTACATCAGGTCATCGTTCGTTAAATATTTTACTGTCTACCGCAATTATCCATGTATACGATGCCAATAAAATCATTCGTGTCGAGCATTACTTGACAACGATTCTCAAATGAATTTCATAACGAAGGAGCTAGCAAATCGCTTGAAGCTCAGGGAGCGACCTCTTGATGTATCAGTGACGGGAGTTATGGATGAAGTAATCCATGCTAATAAGGTAGTCAATCTTTGCGTTAAATCACATTTTAATAGGTTTTCCGAAAAAATGGACTGCGTGGTGCTTCCAAAAATAACGCAACAGTTGCCACAGCATTTCATACCCATGCAAAGTGTGTCGATTCCAAAACATATAAAACTCGCTGATCCTAATTTTAACGTACGCAAACATTGATATGTTAATCGGGGCTGAGTCCTTCTGGAGGCTCATTTGTGCGGGTCAGATCAAACAGTCAAAAAATCAGCCGACTTTGCAAAAGACACACTTTGGATGGATCATTTCCGGTATCACACCAAGTGACATAACCGGATCGGTTCCTTCTGTTAATTTTCATTTAACCTCACTCGATGACTTAAGACTTACATTAAATCGGATTTGGGAGGTGAAACATGATACCACTCCTAAATCATTTTCTCTTGAAGAAAAGGCCTGTGAAGAGGCATCCCTGCAAGCCGTAAAGTGAAATTTAGAAAGTCGTTTTATCGTTAAATTGCCAACAAGGCAAGACAAGCTGAATGAATTGGGAGAATCCAAGGACATCGCTCTGAAACGTTTCAAATCGTTGGAGAAGCGGCTCATCGCTCAACCTCGCATGTATGACGAATACAAGAAGTTCATGGATGAATACATTCGTTTGAATCACATGAGGGAGGTGACTAGTGATACGATGTTAAGCCAGGGCTCTCCAACTTTCTATCTATCACATCATGCTGTGCAAAATGAAACGAGCTCCACTACCAAGTTCCGGGTGATATTTGATGGCTCATGCAAGATCACGACCGGACTATCTTTAAATGAGTATAATTGAACTCAGGCGTATGGTAATGGACCCACGTTTCATCCATCGTCACAAAACGTCGAAAAAAGTTCGCTCGATTACGCTGCAACAACGCCAAACCGGCCGTTGAATCATCAACGCACTACTATTTTTGATCGATGATCAGCAAACGCGGCACCCATCGTGCCGATAGCTTTTTCATCTCCAAAACATCGTGCAGAATGTATCCCGCTCGTTCTTTTGAGATGCCCATGGCCTCAATTAACTCGCGCAACTTCACTTTACAATAACTCAAAACGATTCGATGCACTTGCTTTGCGATTTTATTCGTAGCCTCTTTTGGCCTTCCAGAGCGAGGTGCGTCTTCGGTGCTTGTACGATCCATTTTAAATTTACTAAACTACGGATAAACTGTTGTTCTCGAAGGAGCAGATGTGGGATAACATTTCTGCAACTATTTCAATGATTGTTCAGAAGTTTTTCCCATCAAAAAACAATGTTTGATCAAGATGCGATATTCCTGTTTTTCCATTTTTTTTACGAAGGCGAAAGTAACGCCACTTAAACGACTGTAGCTTGTAAACGAAATGTCATAAAACTTCATACATAAACTAGTGACAGATGAACCTCTCGAAATGAATCATGTTCATTTTCTAGTGGCGCCACCTATTGAAAAATCCTAGGACTTTTCAGCCCATGTAGTAGCTCACCATATAACTAATCGACCGCGCACTACATCCTTATATTTATTGACACAGATCACATCACCTTAAATTTCCAACTATGGCCGCTAAATCTTCAGTTCTAATAGCAATAAGATGTTCAAAGATTCGCACACTGGTGTGACTATCACCAGTTGGAATTGTCGTGGCTTACGCAACAAAATTCCAGATCTTCAATCGTCCGATAAGATAGAAGAAATTTTATGTTCACAAGAAACTAAACTTTTTAATAATATCAAGGTTCAATTCAAGAATTATCAACTCATTAAAAAAGACATTCTTTCGCCTGAGCAGAGCAGTATAACTGTTACATCCTACAGACGCCACGATTTTTTTCTCCGGCTCTACGTCGCAACTGTGGGTGGCGTCTGCAAGACTCGAGCGGAGCCTTCTAATAACCGTCTGACAGAATTGAAAAGAGGGACCGGACAAACTCCGCGAAAACTCGTAAATGCCAATCAACCCAGAAGGAATAACAACTTTAATGCAGGTCCGAAAAGTGACAAGATTGCAAAAGACATTAATATAATACACCTACCATATAAATATACCGAAGTCACGCAATAGTAAAAATCCAAGCTTTATCATCCCAGACTGATCAACAATTTCATCTTAGGAAAACAAGCGCCACGTCGCGTTTAAAAAAATCATAAAATGCATGGGATAACTTCCCACGGTAGCGTTATCTAAAATGAGATTCGCGACTGAATGATTGCCCTGCACGCAAAACTAATTGTGCACTGTAACCATTTGTTTACCTAGCCATATTTTCCGCGAGGATAACAGAATTCGTCATCCGTCTGGAGCAATCTTGTCTCTTTAAAGAAAAACGTAAATCACTTATTTTCTTCTCGAAACTCCTCTAACGATGCACTTTAGATTAACAACGATAGGACACTATAAAAATCGTAAATCTCGCGTGACATTAACTATTGCATCCTAGACAAAGGGCACAACGCCCTTTTTTTCGGGATATAAATAGAGGTCCTGCGAAAGCGCAGAGCGTCAGTACAAAAACCAAACTCATCCGGTTCACGTTAGTACAGAATCACGTTCGCGAATGTATTAAAACATTGTCGGGATCAGCTGCAGTCAGTACGGAAATCAGTTTACGAGAATCCGCGATAGTCACGCCAGTTCGCGTTTTTTTACGCAAGTGTAAAGAGAAAAAGGATAAATTATGGACAGCAATAATCACCTAGGCCACTGCGACTGCCCTTCTGTCCTTCGTAGACAGCGGACCTCCTCGTTCATTTCAATCGATAGCTACCGAGATCTCGTGGACTCACCAGCTAACCAGTAAGTCTCCCTGCCATTCCTTCCGGTTCATCCACACATTTCTCAGCATGAAAACAAACATATATACACACTTATACACGTTTCTAACGGAACATATATATTTTACTCTTCGGTTATAGTGCGTACTAGTACGTCAATTAGAAAACGGAGACGAACTCCTTACGTCAGAAAGAGTAGGCGGAACCGTCCGCATAGTTAAGCCACAACCGTGCCGCCACAATCGACCGACGACCGCTATCTCGAGGTCTTCTACTCGCCAGTCTCAGACACAATCGTTAGACCTCACTTCTCCCCCTGTCATCGATCTCGCCATCCAAGAAATCTTAAATTGTTCTTCTTCTCCTCTCGAGGAACGATTCCCTCTCCCTCCTCCCTTCGAAGAAGGATTTCCTCTCTCTCCTCTTTTAAATCAGCTCCCAATTCCTCCTTTTCAATTGGATCCCTTCTCAATCTCGTGCCAATCGACTGGAATTGGCTATTTAGACTGTATTCGTCCCCCTCCAATGAAGGAGATAGAATAGCTACAGTCTACATCCCCTTACACCATCCTGTACAAGCACCTCATCCTAATGTGCTCCTGCACCATTTTGCTCGCCTCCAATACCCAATAACCTTATTTCCTTTTCTCATACATACATACATACATACATACATACATACACACACACACACACACACACACACACACACACACACACACACGCACCTCCATAACTAATTTCTTACTCAACCACATTACTCAAAAATCGATTGTAATTACACGTACAAGGATAAGTTTTCTTATTTTATGTAAAAAAAATATGTATAAATACTTTATATAAACCTAATTTTCTTTTTTTTATTAATAAATATAAGTCAGTTATATTTTCCTAGTTGCTATTTATTGGAATCACCTCTCGCATTGTTTTCCCTTTAAACTCTCCCTGAGATTGCACGAGATCCAATCTCGGGTCAAAAGGATTAAATTCCTTGACCCAAAAAGTAAGACCGACGTTCGCATTGTCCTTCGGAACAGATGTCATAGCGTTCCTTCGTTGACCCATATTCCAGGAGCGAAAAGATGCGTGCGACTCACAGGTATTCGCCTCTGTGCGTCCTTCCATACCCTCTCCATTCTCCCTCATTGTCTCCTTCACCGAATTTCTAAGGGTTTGGACGTAACATAGCTATAGCCATTAAAGATCACATCCACTACGATATGTTCGACCTTTTTAATTGCCAACATCAATCGGCGGAGTCTCTTGGGATTAGAATCTACTTCAACTCCTCGTGCATAGTCATCAATATTTATCATCATCCGAACGCGCATACGCCTAGTTCCTCAATGATCTATTCGACATTGTGAATCAACAAAAGAATGCTGTCCTGATGAGCGATTTTAATGTGCACAATATTGCGTGGGGCTGCTCAATCTCAGACGCTATTGGCAAACAGCTATTTCAATCCATAGAAAACTTTAATCTTATCATCTGCAATGATGAAAAATTCACTTTGCAACAACCACCAGACAGCAATTTATCAGTCATCGATTTAGTCTTCGCTACCCCAGACGTGTATCCCTCCTTCTACTGCAACATCAAACCAGAAGCTCTCTCCAATGACCATTTTCCATTGATAGTGCGTCTAAATAGATCCAAAAAAGGTGACATCAAAAAAGGTGAATTCAATTATAAGATTAGGCAACAGCACAACTAAATTCATTTTATGTCATGATGTCGCCTAATCATGTCATCATTAACACGAATTCTAAAAGTAGCGTTTTTGATCTATACAAAGCTTTCAAACAAAATATTAAAGAAGCAATTTATTCTTTTTTTCTTCCAAGCTCTCGCGTCCTTGCCACTAGATCAATGTCTGACAGACGCCGTCTTTCCCCTTTTGCTGGATTGAAGATTGCCAGGCCGAGGTGGACGCCAAGAGGGCAGCGATGTGCCGGTTCAACTCACAATCAAGTTCGAAGAACTATAGGGCATACAAACACGAGGCAGCGGAATGTAGAAAAACTTTCAAAAAAATCAAAAGGCGCAAATGGAGAGAACTATAAGTATAAGTAAGAACTATAAGTATAAGTTTTTAATGGGAAAACTCCTATCTCGTTTCTATGGAATCTAGTGAAAACCTTCAAGAATCGCAATAGTGCGTCTCCGCCATTATCGTCAGAGGAAACTCGAATTTTACAGAAAGCTAAAAGTTAAAAATAAAATCTGCCTGTCCTCATGCTGCGATAGTCGTCCACTCTTGTCGAAATGCAGAAAGAGGATCTTGAAAACTGCGTAAGCGCAGAATTAGATAATCCGATCATCATGGATGAACTAAAACTATCAAGACATCTAAGTCTAAATCTGGTCTAGACCAAATTGACTACAATATAATAAAGTCTTTTCCAGCATGCCTTGAATCACTACTATGTATATACAATCGACTACTCGACAAGGGAGAGTTTTCTGAAGATTGGACGCAAACTTTGATCATTTTCATTTCTAAGCTCAATGAAAAAGGCGTTAGCAAATCTCATTACTCTCTTGCTTTCTTAAGATTATGGACTAACTATATTTAAGGAGGCTTCATCGATAACAATAGCAGTATATGCGTCTTCCTGGACATCGAGTGTGCATTCGATAATGTGGTCCTATCAATATTCGTAAAGGATCTTCTATGCCTCGATTTTCCGACAAAAATAAGAAAATTTGTCAGCAATCTGATATCGGAGTAGCATGTCTACGACGGCGAACTCAAAGGTCCGTACACAACGCAAAAATATCCCTCAGGGATCTATTCTGAGCCCCCTTCTCTTTAATCTGTATTACACAGACTTGAAGAAATGTCTGCATGAAGATGTACTTATGTTACAGTATGCGAATGACATCGTCATCTTCTCAACCAATAAGAACACTGAAGCGGTAAAACAATCTATCCAGACATCGTTTGACAACATCTATAGGTATTTGAGCGACAGAACTTAAACTTATCAACTATTAAATCACAATGGATGTTTTTTTACGTGAAACAGAAACGAACGTCTGGATCTAACGATCAAAGTCAATGGTATAGAAATTCCAAAAACACGCATGGCTGTATTCTTGGGAATCTTTCTGGACCCCAAGCTCGAAGGCAAAGAGCATTTAAAATATCTAGTTCAAAAGGACAGAGCCATAATGAACATTCTATCCAACCTAGCTGGCACCAAATGGGGATTGCACCCCCACAACACTGTTCAACATATACAGGGCTATCTTTCGATCAGCGATCGAGTATGGTTGTCAAACCTTCAAACTTAAGAACAATCAAGCGGAATTTCAACAGTTGAAACATCTAGTAAACAAAAGCTCGCGAACTGCCTTGGGATTCAGGATATTCACTCCAATCAATGTGTTGATGGCCGAAACCAAAGAGCCTCCGCTCAGTCTAAGATATTCATATTATATATTATCTCTAAATTCATATATAAGAGCCTATCAAGTAAACATAGTCCAATCTTAGACAGTTTTAACTAGTTGGAACGGGTTTAATATTCAACTAGGAGAAGAGAACAAGTATTGGCATCGGTGCCAAGCTTGAAGCATTACGTAACACAGAAATATGAGTTAGAATGTATGCATAGGTCATTCCGCTTGCCGAATTATAGACACAGCATGAAAGTTTAATATATACACAGTATGATGACTCGATGTCCTTATGATGACTCGATGTCCGCCTTCTCGGCGGAGGCATGGGCCGTTCTTCAGGCCATTCTCATTACAGAGGATCTTAATTGAGAAGAAGTCAGCATAGTCTCTGACTTCCAAAGTGTGGGCAATCGCATATATAGTTCACACATAATGTTCGAGACAGCAAGTACCTTCTTCACGAAATAAAAGGCAAACTTTACTGTATCACATCGCAAGGACGTAGAATACACCTGCTGTCTCCAAGCACAAAAGCATACGGAGTAATGAGGAAGCCAACTGCCTTGCCAACGATGCAGCGCTACACGGGCAGACCCAAATTCAAAATCCCATATCAGGACTTTCAAGTTGATTCTAAATGTTGCAGATCAATAAAGCCTACTTGAAATATTCTGCCAAGTATAAGGGACAACTATATGACCAACATTTTAGAAATACCGCAACAAAAACTAACCACAATAAACAACTCAAACGCGAGGAGATCACTACGATCTCTAGGATTAGATCCACTACAATCTTGCTGAAAGCTTGCACCGCAAGGGCATTATGAACTCCCCGGAATGTTCGTGCGGAGAGCCTAAACAAGACATCAACCACGTCATCTTCTATTGCAGAATGTGCATCGGCAAATCTCACAAATTGCGCTCCTTAAAAAATATTTTCTTTGTATCCTATCAATATTTTGCCTACCTTAAAAAATATTTTCTTTGTATCCTATCAATATTTTTCATATGTTGGTGAACCCTCCTTCTTTATACCGCTTAATATGTGCTTATCTAAAATCCTTAAACCTAAAAATCTAATTTCACCAATGTGAACGCACGGTGGTCGGAGGGAGGGAGAGTCCCTCCGCCTCCCATCGGGTGGCGCACTCATTCATTTCATCTCAGGATCCATATGAGTTTGCTTGCGTTACTGGCCAGATTCGCCGGCATTTCATCGACGAGCGCCAAAATAGATGAAGAAGAAAATTTACGGATGGGCGGTATCAAGAGATCGTTAGAGCGTCCCTCACAAAATTATCAATCGCGTGTCGGATCGCGTGTTCGACATCAATGTCAACAACGGTACACAACGTAGCGTATCGATCAAAAATTTAAAACCGGCGTATTTCATACGCGATGAGACTAAAGAGTCTATAATAAGAGAGTCGCCAACATGACACATGACTCGAATCGCGCGCTGATTAGCTTGGTGCGGAATCGATATATAATCTTCACTAATCTTCAAGTGTTATGGTTTGAAAATAAAAACAGTGCATTAATTATAGTATAGAATTTCATTTCTTTTCCTTTGATAAGTGTTTCCATATATCATATTTAATTATATAAGCCTTAAAATAGTCAAATAATGTCAATATTAATTTTTGCTTTACATTTTTGGTAGAATAATGTATTACAAAAATTAAAAAGAACTCGGGAAAAAATGTTTCATATATAATTATATATTGTATTATAAAATTATATAAAATTACATGCAATTACATATTAGATGTTGGAATTAATTCGTAGCGTTTTACAAGTGATGGGAAGTACTTTCATTAATGTATTTTTTAATGCTCATGTGAAATAAAGAACATTCTTTCATTAAAAATGCTACGAATTAATTCCAACACCTAATATAATTACATATAAACATAAATTTATATATTTTATATATAAATATATATACGAGGGCAAATAAATAAGTACCCGTGTTTCAACACAGGCGATGTTGCTGATGCAAATTGGCATTACCATCATGTATTACCATCTTTCAAAGCCATACAAAATTTCAGAGTGATTCATGCAATAGTCTTGATTTGACAACAATTTGTAGTGAGCGTGTTTGATGTTTTTCGATACAATGGAAAAAGAGCAATATCGATCCGTGATTCGTTTCTTATTTTTGAATAGAAAAACGTGCAAAGAAATAAAAACAAAGTTAGATGCCGTCTATAGGAACTCTTCACCATCTATGACAGATATTAGTTCAACGAATTCAAACGTGGTCGTTCGTCTATTTTTGATGAGGAACGCCCAGGCCATCCTGGAGACGTGGTTATTGAGGAAATCGTTGAAAAAGTCCACGACATAATTCTCGCTGATCGCCGAACGAAAATACATGAAGTAGCAGAGGCCATAGAACGTTGACCGTAGACGTGTCGTACAGAACGGCATTCAATATTTTGCATAATAACTTGGGAATAAAAAAGCTGTCGGCCCGATCAGGACAATGCATCGGCTCACTCCGCAGTCGCCACAGCCAAATTGGTCGAATTGCTGCCGCATCCACCGTACTCGGATTTAACCCCCTGTGACTTCTTGTTTCCAAACTTGAAAAAATGGCTCGGTGGAAAGAAATTCTCATCAAATGAGGAAGTCATCACCGAAACAGAGGTCCATTTTGCAGAGTTTGACAAATCACATTTTTCTGAGGAGTTAAAAAAATAGCAGAAGCGTTGGGAAAAGTGTATTCTCCTAAAAGGGGATTACGTTGAAAAATAAAAAAAATTTTGTGTGAAAAACTTGCGTCTTCATTACTAACATGGGTACTTATTGATTTGCTCTCGTATATAAAATACATCCACATAGATAACATTTTTTCCCGAGGAAGTTATAAAGTTCAAAATATCTCTTCTTTGCAGAAAATAATAATCGGATATGCTGTACTGTACAACTTATTGTTGTAACAACAGTTACGAAAAAAGTTTTTTCTTGCTCAGATTTCTCAAAGATCCCATATTAAGAGAAAAGTGGCACATTGCTGTTGGAAGGAAAGAGAATTGAAAAGTAACGTCAAATCATCGATTATGCGAGAAAAACATTTTTTCTTAGCGAGATACTTCATTTATAAAGCAAAGTATTAAATACAAATATTAATTATGTGATTGCAGAAACACTTTAAACCCGATGACTGGATCATTTATAGAAGGCGCATCAAGAAAGATGCTATTTCAACTCTTTTTTTTTTGTAATAATGTCACATCAATGTCAGAGACTTCGGTTCGTCAACCTCTAACAGATCTAAATCAGAATTACTTTGAATACAAATATTTCCGATGTAATGTAAAATTCTGTCGACATACTCGTGATTGCTCCATTCATCAAGAATTTATATTTTCTTACAATAATGTCAATCTAACTTTCTGCAAATCCTTGCGCAATCGTTTATTCTCTGACTGCAACTTCTCATTTTTTTTTTACTACTCTTAGTTTCCTGCGATATGGAATGGCAATAGAAGGTAAATTTTGTGGACAGAGTAAAAGATTGTTTGCTTCCACATTATCAGTAATTGTCAGGTTTGATGGAAAATCTTGTCCACATTTGTTTTTGTTGTTACTGTTACTTGAGGCTCAGCAATATTTTCCTGATTAACATTATTATTAGGTGTTGGAATTAATTCGTAGCGTTTTACAAGTGATGGGAAGTACTTTCATTAATGTATTTTTTAATGCTCATGTGAAATAAATAACATTCTTTCATTAAAAACGCTACGAATTAATTCCAACACCTAATACATCAGAAATATTTGTATTCAAAGTAATTCTAATTCAGATCTGTTAGAGGTTGACGAATCGAAGTCTCCGACATTGATGTGACATTGTTACAAAAAAAAAGAGGTGAAACAGCATCTTTCTTGATGCACCTTCTATAAACGAATCATCGGGTTTAAAGTGTTTCTTCAATCACATAATTGATATTTGTATTTAATTAATACTTTACTTTATAAATGAAGTATCTCACTAAGAAAAAATATTTTACCTCGCATAATCGGTGATTTGACATTACTTTTCAATTCTCTTCCCTTCCAATAGCAATGCGCCACTTTTCTCTTAATATGGAATCTTTGGGAAATCTAAGCAAGAAAAAACTTTTTTCGTAATTATTGTTATAACAATAAGCTGCATAAACGGCATATCTGATTATTATTTCTGCAAAGAAAAGCTATTTTGAGCTTTATAACCTCCCCGGGAAAAAATGTTATATATGTGGACGTATTTTATATATATATTTATATATAAAATATGTCCAGATTTATATATAATTGTTAATATGTAATTATAATATGTAATTATAATTACATGTAATTTTATATAATTTTACAATATATAATTATATATGAAACATTTTTTCCCGGGTTCTTTTTAATTTTTGTAATACATTATTCTATAAAAAATGTAAAGCAAAAGTTAATATTGACACTACTTTAAGGTTTAAACGATTAAATATAACATATGGAAACACTTACCAAAGGAAGAGAAATGAAATTCAACACGATTAATGCATTGTTTTTATATATCGATTCCGTATCAAACCAATCTGCGATTCGAGTCATGTTGGCGAGTCTCTTATTATAGGTTCTCTATGAGACATGTAATGCGACCTTAGAGGCAAACATCCAATTCGTCCAACAACAATTAACCAGTGTTAAAAACGTCCCAAGAAGAAAGTCACTTTCGCCTTACAACGACCTAGTTTACACCGAGGGTTCGATCCGGGTCAGAATGCAAGAACCAAACAACTGCAGTCCAACATACCTCTGTGGCTATGGTCAAAGTCTTGCTACAAATGCTTTGAAATATCTGATGAACCAATTAGAAGAAAAAATTTTACAAACTAACCAACTAAAAGACCAACTTCAAAGCATTTACAGCATCACGTTGACTGTACCCGTTACAGTTGAATGACAAGGGAACTGCTGGACTGCAGTTGGTTGGTTCTTACATTCCGACTCGGATCGAACCTTCGGTGTAAACTAAGCCAATAAGTCTTCCAGCGTCAAATGTAATTAGAGCTACGTTCCAAAACTTCCTCTCTGAGGAAAACTTTACTCGAAATATTGTATATAGTATACATGTACTGTAGCATATAGAGTAAAATCTTCCTCGAAGAGGAAGTTTTAGAACGTAACCTAGACGAAGTAAAAACATACCAAAGACAACACGCCGCAATAGACTTAAGTGCCCGCAATACAAATGTATCTGGGATAAATATTGGGTCATCTAAAAAGTATCCGCGGTTTTTTGTCACTAGATATATGACCCAATAGGAGATCATCGCTTAGAGTTGAAAATGTTAAAAATTTTAATATATTTTACATATATATTGGATCATCTAAAAAGTATCCGCAGTACTTTGTCACTAGATACATGACCATCAACACACATCTAGTGACAAAAAACCGCAGATACTTTTTAGATGACCCAATATATATAAATATATATAATATATTTCTAGATGGGCGACTAATGAGCTCCTATTTACTAGTGACCGGTACGTTACTGAAGCTACATTGGACGCGCATGCGTCTGAAACCCAGTCTGTCTAACAACACGGGTTGTTCGGGGAGACGCTATTTGCGCTATTTAGCGCTACAAATTGTTCGCGGAGCTGTATAGCGCTAATAAACATGATTATGACGTCACTAATAGTAGAGTGTTACGTCACAACTGCGCGCTATCAACGCTATTCCTTCCGAAGTAGTGTATTGGTAGCGTAGCGTTTATAGATCCGTGAACGACTAGCGTTTAATATTTGTTAAGGTTAGATTAATGTTTGAGGGGATTCTGTTCTCGAGTGGCAACTTTTCTCTCTTTAGAATTTCGTAGAGTAAACGTACGTACGTAACGTGTAAATTTCAAATTTTATCGTAGTGAATGCAATCTCAATTTCAATCTCTGCAATTGATGGCTTACCACTAGGCTGGAGTGAATGTAATTCTTGCTTGTGTATCATCTTTAACTTTTCAAAGTTTCTGCAGTTCAACTTATATATTTTAACTTATGTATTTCAACATAACTTGTGTATTTGATTACAAATGTGAAAGTCAAAGGTATCTTGTTACTGGCGATTTTTAATTCCCATGTACGGAAAAAAGTTACTATTACGCGGCAGAGTATTCCGCTGCAGATGCTTAAGATCCTTATTAGATTTAGATAGGCTTCTTCTCAAATTGACAACGGATGCTCAAGGATTCTTCCTTTTATTTAATTAATTTACAAATTTATCAGTGTAATGATTAATTTTTTGATCTAGTTCACTCTGACCTAGATGCAAGCCATCATAAAAATTGCAATTAAGATTTATTCTGTTATTCACTACGAAAAAATTAAAAATTTATATATATTTTATAAAACCTTAAAAATTTAAATTACAAAGAAAAGTTTGGTCAGTGATTAAAAACAGAATACCCTGCATTAACTTAACCTCGATGAATATTAAATCTCTCTGGTTAAGCGCTACTAACGCTACGCTAGGATCGTTCATGGAGTTTTATAACGCTGTCGCGCTATTGACTCCAAGAACAATATTGGTAACTTCTGCGTCCATAGCGTGAATAGTATCTCCCCGAACACACTCTGGGTCGATAAGAGAAAAAAAGCCCTCTTTCGATCTCTTTTGGTAGAAACGACCGAAGACCGAAAATGCTTTCTCAATGATTTCGGCCGCTTGGCATGTATCAATATAAGGAGCGGAGGGCATTCGAGATAACATATATTTTTAATACATTTTAATAATTATATACCCCTCCCATTAACGTATAATAGCAAAAATGATGAATTATCAAAATGCAATAGTTTATGAGAATTATTTACGATTTTTTATGAGAGTTATATACTGCGTTTATGAACAGTCTGTAAGAATTCCATGGTCGTGTGCGTAAGGTGCGAAATCAGTATGTCGGAGATCTCACGTTCTAATCCTACGTTTTTTTTCCCTTTTTTTCTGAAATATTTTTTCTGAAATAAAATTATTAATAAACATATTACGGCGAGAATATTTTTATATAACTATTGAATTTATACGTGTACTTTTAAAAGTATTAAACCAACAACCAAAATATAGTCAAACGTTAGAAAGAATATAAAATTACTAAAACTATATGGTATCAAAGGTTGGATACAATATAAATAAATTAATTTACGAAATCTTCATTATGTCAGTGAGTAGTAAAAAATTTAAGTCGGACCTATACTTTGTTGAAAAGTAAGAAAAATTGAAATCATGAGTTAAAGTATTTATAATTACGTTATATGAAGTTAGATGATGAGATCAACTATTTTATTTTATCTCTTTTCCGGCATGCTATTCTTGTTTTACATCTAATGAACAATGAAGATGAAACAACAGAAATAGTGATAATGTCTTCTCGAACGCATTCGTCAATTTCAATTTCTATTCAAAAGTTGTTTAGTTTATGAAAATAATTTCAGTACCAGAAGAGTGACTTTTTATCTCAACACATAAATAAAAGCACGTGTAGCCAGATAAAAAGCTAATATTTTACAATGAAAGCGCAGTATAAAAAATTAAACATTGAATCAAGTAATCAACATTTGAGTATATAATGTATGAAGGAAGTTATTGTTAAATTAGTAAATTATTTAAACAGATTTTAATTAAAAATATTAATCCACTAAAGAGTTTATTTAATTTTAAAACTTAATTACTTTATATATTAGGTGTTGGAATTAATTCGTAGCGTTTTACAAGTGATGGGAAGTACTTTCATTAATGTATTTTTTAATGCTCATGTGAAATAAATAACATTCTTTCATTAAAAAACGCTACGAATTAATTCCAACACCTAATAATATATTTATTTATATTTTTATACCAAAATTAAGGAAAAAATCACAAGAGAAAGAGAAAATAATTCTATTATTATTTTAATATTAATATTTATTTTTTATTAAAAAATGTGCGTGCGTGCGTGCGTGCGTGCGTACGTGCGTGCGTGAAATTTTTTTATGTATTTAATAAAACATTTAAATCGTTTTTCTTTTCTTAATATCAATGTAATATCTAATATGTTTTTATCTAAAGAAATATTATACATAATATAAAATATATAAGAAAAGTGAAAGTGCTTTTTTTATTCGTGTAAAATGATATTCAATACACATAGATGTCTAATTTTATGTGATGCCTATATATAGTACGAGATATTTATTAAGAATTATTCGACTAGTCTAGCCAGTACAGAATACTTATAAAATATTTTATAAATATTCTGTGCTGTCTGGGAGAGTAAAATTAATTAATTTTCACGTTTTCAATTCGATATTTGTTACAAAATTATTCATTGAAGAAAACGTTTTTTATATTGCGCTTTCATTTATAAATTTCTAAAAAAGTGCTAGGAGAAAAGTGAAAGTGCTTTTTTTATTCGTGTACAATGATATTCAATACTACACATAAACCAATTTTTAGATGTGATGCCTATATATAGTACGAGATATTTATTAAGAATTATTCGACTAGTCTAGCCAGTACAGAATACTTATAAAATATTTTATAAATATTCTGTGCTGTCTGGGAGAGTAAAGTTAATTAATTTTTACATTTTCAATTCGTTATGTTACAAAATTAGTCATTGAAGAAAACACTTTTTATATTGCGCTTTCATTTATAAATTTCTAAAAAAGTGTTAGCGTATAAATATAGTCTCTCTTTAATTTTATTAATATAGCTATATATAATAAATAATTATTACTACAAATACTGGTTATGTAAATATATAGATTTGTAACCTGTTAAATGATTAATTATAACAATTGATATTTAATCTGTTTGATAGAAACTTTAATTCGACTAAAAAATTAATAAATCAATAGTCATGTTAATTATATAAATTCTTTTACGATGTTTTATTAATTTGCATATATACAAAATCATTAAGTTTTTTGTAAAGATAAATAAAGGATATTTAAAATATCAATATTTTAATATTGGTAGATGATAATATCATCTAAAAAGTATCCGCGGTTTTTTGTCACTAGATGTGTGTTGATGGTCATATATCTAGTGACAA